AATTAATAAATGCTAATATAGTAATATGTTTAATAGAATACACATTTAATACATGTTCAATATATATTTATACAGAGAAGACATATATACATATGTACATATACATAAATGTGTGTGTGTGATTTTATAATATAAAATCAGTGAAGTTCCTAGTGGGAAACAAATGACACACTAGGTTGGATATCATTGAGTTTAATTACGGGGCATTTTAAAAGCCAGACAGAGGGGCTTGAGATAATGGTCAGTGGTTAAGAGCTTTGGCTGTTCTCGCAGAGGACTCAGCTTAGGTTTTGCAGGGTGGTTCACAATTGTCTGTAACTCCCGCCCCAGAGGATCCAAACTTCTGGCCTCTGAAGACACCTGCACTCATGTGCACATACCCCAAACACTGACACACGTGAACATATAATTTGGCAGGAAGTGGGGGGGGGAGGCAGGGAAACCAGTGTAGAAGAGTTCCGGTGAAAGTGGAGCCTCCAGCGAGGGGGCTGGCGGGAGTGTGGGCTGAGGAGGAGTTGATGCTAACAGGACCACATGCAAAATGAGGGCCGGCAGGAACAGCTGGATAATCTGTGAGACTAGCCAGACTGCCGCGTAGACAGGATCCAATTACACCACTGGACTGGGAATACAGGGTGATTGTGGAGGCGTGAGCAAATGCGGCATTATATACTTCTCAAGGACAATTTTTTTTATAGATATTGAAAAATATTTGTTCACAAGAGAGAATTTTAGACTTGAGGAGAAAATAATTTCTAGAGAGAGGCTAAAATGCGACCAACTGGGCCTGTGCTGCAATTTTAACATGTGTCTAAATCAGCTCAGAAGACTGAAGAAAACGCCCTCTCTTCCGCGAGGCCGGCTGCATTGAGAGTTGTTACGTGGGGTCCCGAGGAAACACACACCGACAGCAGCAGCAGTACAGCAAGCCATTATGAGGCCCATCGCACAGTGTTTATGTGCACAACTGTCATCAGAGCGAGCTAGGCTGCTAGGACTCACTGAGTGCAGGCGTTCCTGCGTACGCCAGTATCATGGGGGCTTCTTGATTTCCACTGTTCATTGAAAAGCATAAGGAAGCTTCTGCTTACATTACATAGCTTGCTGAAGGCTGGACGGATAGGCAGCAGACGAACTAGAGAAGATCCCGGTGACTCCAGGCTCAGTATGTTTTTCTTTTGTTTCTTAATTTATTTTTGAAAGATAAACCTTAACTATCTATTCCAGGTTGAACTTGAACTTGCGATCTCAAGTGGTACTGTGGTAGCCACACACCTCATGCCTGGCCTATTGGGCCCATTCTCTAGGCGTATACATTGGGTGACTAATAAAGATGATGAGAATATTGTCGATTTAGGACAATAATGTGTGCTGATACTTAATGCGGTATGAATCTAAGTCTCTTAAGAGGGAATTGATTGGTCCTAAGAATGCATATCGCGGCCCTAAGATTACACATCCTGACATGGGTTGCTAAAAACAGTTTGCGTATTATTCGGGTCCGAGGAAGTGTTTGAAAAAGGTGCTGAGGAAATGCTCCGTTGAGAAGAGGAGGGGGAATCCCAACCCGTGGAACTTAATCTCCAGTCAGAAGCTCAGTTCCTGCAAGCAGGGTCTGAGACTTTAACCATAATTAATTCTTCAGAATAGCCTGACACGATGCCTAGAAGATACAGCTGTTCAAGAAATACTTCTGGAATAGGTGCCCAGGATGCGGTCTCGCTGTGTTCTTCTTCAGGATTGGTGCTCGGGGGAAGGAGTGCAGCTGCAGAGAGGTCAGGAAAGCGCTGCAGCCCTGGTGGGAACAGAGGATGACCACCAGGAGAGCACACCAGACGGGACAACACAGCAGTGATGGGCGAAGGCGCTGCAGAGGCCTTTGTTTAGAGCCCCGTAAAGCCCAGAGGAGCTGCTTCCAGTTGGCTTGGATGAGAGGTCACACAGGTTAAAAATAGACTTTCTCAGTAAGGAACAATAGACTGTGTTCATTTAACAAAAACAAACAAACAAAAAAAAAAAGGATGGGGAGGGGGGCAAGAAAAAGAAAAAGGAAAAAAGAAAAGAAAATAGACAGCCCTGAGGTTAGATAGGGATCTTTAATCCCGTTAAAGAGCCCAATTACCCAGGAAGATTGAGTAAGCTCTCTCTCTCTCTCCAATGGGACTTAAATGTAGGTCTTACAACAGGGAATAAAGAGTCTCAGTCATGTACTGGACACTTGGGATGTTTTAGATAAGTTTAGGAAGAGAAGAGTTAGATGGCTACACTCTGTCTCAATGTTTGAAGTAAACAGTATTCTCTTTAGGCCATATGATCGCTTTCCATTATTCACAGAGAGTTCAAGTACAAGGAGTTATCTTGACAGGTGAGCTCACTAACTTTTAAAGACAGTCTCTTTCTTGCACTTGTATTTTCAGAAAGTTGTATTTCCTCAAAAGCATAACACGTTGTCCAGGAATCTATAAAGTTTATTGAGGAATATATTATGGTAATACTAATATCTTCACCCAGCTAAGAAGACGGGTTCTGCTTGAATGAATTCAGCACGAGTCACCAAGTATGGGACATCCATGTGCTTGTGGCCGGGTAAGGCAATGTATGTATTTCGGCTGGTTTAATTCTTCAGATAGGTCTTAGAAAAACCAAGTTTACCAACTTCTTTCATCTGTTTTTAATTTACATTGTATGCATGCATGTATATATGTATGTATGCATGTATGTATGTATGTATTGTTGTATTATGTATGTATTGTTGTATGTGTGTGTGAAGGTCAGAAAACAACTTCTGTCCTTCCACCATGTAGATCCCGGGGATTGAACTCAGGTGGTCAGGCTTGGTAGTAGTGCCTTTACTGGCTGAGACAACTTGCTGACATTTTTCCTTCTTTTATTGGAACAGGATCTCTCTCTGCAATCCTCAGGCTGGTCTGCTATTTACTATGTAGTTTAGGCTTTCCTAGAACTCAGCTGTCTCCCTGCATCAGCCTTTCAGGGCTAATTACAGGATTGGACCACCACACCTGTCCAGTACATTTATTTGAGTTAGGGTTTTGCTAAGCAGCCCCAGGACAGCCCCGAACTTGTGAACTTCTAGCTTATGTCTTCTAGTTCTGGTGTGCACCACCGCGTAGTTTACCAACTTTGAAAATTTTGCCTCCTCAATACTAAATGCAAAGAATAGAAAGTGTGGCTACTAATTTCATTTTTCTTACTGTTGCAGAGGAGGAGAATGTCAAAGATAACAGGAAGGAGTTGACATATTCTGTTTATGCTGTGCTTAATTCTGAGTTATACTAGTATTTTTGAAATATCAAAGAAATTATACAACGAAGCACTCCTCCATGTCCAAGTGGAGCTATTTAAGGGAAAAAGGAAGGAGCTGGCTCTTTGCTACTCTGTCCCCTCAGACAGGGACATTCCTCCCCTTGTCTCTCTCCCCAGCAGCCAACAGTTTACACTTGAATAGTTTTCCTGAGAGAATGAAAGAATTTGCCCACATCCTGGAATAAGATGACAATGTTGCTCTTTTATACACTTTGTTTACATCACAGCTAATCTAGGGAATTACAGAGAATGTTACAACCCCAAACAAAATGGTGATCTGATTTGCTTTGCTTTTGAGATGTATAGGTACACACTTAACCATTTAGTCCTTGTTTAACTAGAAAGCCAACTAAAATCCGTGGGAAGGCATGGTGTGACTTATCAACTTTAAATTCACCAGATATGAGAAGATTTAGTTGATCTGCATGACTAGAGTCCATTCATAACACAGAGTTTTATTTTCCCATCATAGAAACTCGGATCCACTTTTACCATTTCCTCCTATTCTTAAGAGTTCTCGATTTTATTAGACACCAACTCAACATGCCAGAGATCAGCTCACAGAGTTAAAGAGCGAAGGTCTTCGCGTGAAAATTGTCTAGCTACAGAAAAGATCCCCGTAAGAGCAGATGAACATCACCATTCACACGTGAAGAAGACGACAAGATAGCTCAGGCGAGTGAGGGAGTTCACTACCAAACTTCAAGGCCCAAGTAGCATTCCGGAGCCCATGTGGTAGGAAGAGAAAACGGACTCCCATAAACTGTCCTCCAACTTCCATATCCATGCCATGGTATGGCACTTCCTTCTTCCAAATACATACATAAATAAATACGAGTAAATAAAAACCCATATTCCACAAGCCCTACACTCATTAGCATGCTTGACGTCATGACACTTTCTTTTGGTCTGAGGCTCCTTGCCTTCACTGCTGCTCGTAAACGTCACACGTCTATGATGTACATAACGTCACACGTCTGTAACGTAAGTGACATGCCTCAAGTTGGCTTGCACATTCAAACTCGTTTTGCTTTTTTTTTTAGTTTTTGTTTTCTTTAGGTGGAACACAGAGGACAACATGGAGAAAGACCAACAGATTTTAAAACACCCAGTTCCAGCCTAGCTTTTCCTACTTTGTGCCTCTCGTCAGTCCTTTCCCATTTCCCCACAATACTGGGGAGTTGCTACAACCATCACAGAGTGTGAAAAGCGAAGCCGTGTTTTCCCCAGCAGCTACATCGCCTTCTTGCTGCTTTCAAACATACACTGTCCATTTTAACCAGCAAGCACATCTATTTCTGACTACTGAACCGACTACTTGAGATTAAAAACAATAAAGCTTGATAAATACCAACAATCAGTTTCCAAAGACCACTCCTCAACACATTGGTCAACACATCAAAACTCTCCCCCCCCAAGAGGAAAAAAAGATTGTAATTGCCATTAATTTTAAAGGCTACAAGATGTCTTTTAACACAATACCAACACGATGCCAAAAGCCATATTTTTCTTACATCATGAGAATAACTGGTTTATTTTCTAATTCAACAATCACATTTCCCACAGAAATCGATTAGATTGGTGTATTTTAGATACTTAGAGAGATTTCTATTTTAATGTGGAATTTCATTCTAAAATATGTAGGCACGAAAAACACAACCCAAATGTAAACTCACCAGCCATTTCCTTTTCTCTAACACATGGAACAGCCTGGAAAAAAGAAAAGAGATGCACAAAATTACAACACAATTAGAAAAAAAATTAACTAATATAATTAGGATTAATGTATCATAAATGTAATAAAACCTAGATTCAGATAGTAGAAAAATAAGCATCGTGGAGCAATCTGTGACGCCATTACACCTGGCTGTGAGAGCCATATCAATTCCATAATGATTTTCTGGTCTGACATTAGAATCCGTCTATATTATCTTTGAATGACATAGGTACTATATTAGGCTAATACACTCTTTGACTTTGGGTGAATATTTTTGTTCTAGTTTTGGGAGGCCCACAAAGTAAATTATTTAGCCAGTGACTGGGCATTTCAAGCCTTTGACTTTTCTCTACTGTCAGTAAGCATTTGAGTGAGCTACCCAGCCTCTTTGTACCAGGTGGAAAAATCTCACGTATTTCATAGGACTGCTGGGAAAACTAAATATAGTGCCCTCCACAAAGTATCCCAGGTTCCCAGAAAGAGAAACAATCTCGCTTACTTACTTAGTATTACTCTGGGCAGGGATTCTATGGATTAATTTATCTATATGAAAGGTTTAAAAAGGTCCGTTCCATTTCATTTTTATCTTTATTATTTTAAGCATAAGACTTGAAATAAGTAATAAGAAATGTTTCAAAAACTTACAAAGCACCACTGTTAATGCTATTCTTTGTGAATGCCAAGAATGAATTAAGGAGCTTGAATTTCTAGTTCTCAATTACTCATGTCTAAAAGAACACAGAGGCATTAACTTTGTGTGTGTGTGTGTGCACACACATGTGCATGTGTGTGTGTGTGGTGTGTATGTGTGTGTGGTACATGTACATGTAGATGAGTGTATTGGTATAATCTGACATTTCTTTCCTGCTCATCAGTTTCCATATAACTACTCTGAGGCTCATTTATTAGTTACAAATGCTCTGCTGATAGCTCAGTCTTGTTGCTAGCTAACTCTCACATTTTAAGTTAACCCATATTTCTTATTTACTCTCTGCTGTAGAGAGCTGCGTGGAGCCGCACCTTAAAGATGGCGCTGGCTTCTGCCCTCCACGATCCCAAAAGTGAGCGTTCTCTGATAAACAACTCCTTATTTGGCTGAGGCCGGACCCTTGCGATCATCACCTGATCGCAAGCTGCTTGTGTGAGTGTGGACCAATGAACAGCGCCCACGTGGCTATCCAGGGTTGGTAGCCCAGGCCTACTTAAGGGCTGGGGGAGGTTTGGGGGTGGGGGTGGGGGGATTTCTTCGATTGTCAAAAGTCCTAAATAAAACTGCCTGTAAGAAGAGCTCCCGTGTCGCATCATCCTTGCTGGTTGAGACGGTCGTGACACTCTGCCATGTGGCGATACTTTTATTAGCACAGTACATTCATCTCCTGCTCCTCTGTGTCTGGCTAGAGACACTCTACTCTGTCCTTCTTTTTCCCATTATCCTTAGTTTGATCATCCTGCCTGTACTTCCTGCCTGGCTACTGGCCAATCAGTATTTTACTGAACCAGAATACAAGAGAATTCCACAGCATTTGGATATACCTGTATGTATACAAATTAGAGAGCCTTTGCAAGCCTATGTGATCCATGCATTGAGATTTCTAGCGACAACCACTGACTGCAGACTCCCTACCGCTTTTTCTGTCATCAGGAAACAGCAACAGATCTAAGACAAGAAAGATTCTTATGTGTGTTATTTGTAGTGAGTGTATGGAGATAGAGAGACAGAGAAAGACACACACAGGAAGAGACTTCTTTGATGAAAGTTGAAGGACAGACTAATCTATGAGAGTAGGGATATATACTTAGAAGGAAGTTTAATGCCTTTTCCACTTGGCAAAGTAATAGTAGTAGATTTTCTAAGACCTCCTTAGTGAAGGAGTTTTGGACAGGTTCACAGTACTAAGTATGAACACCCTCTTGTGAAGTGGACCTTAAGCACATCAGAAAATGGTTGGTCACTTCCATAACGTTCATGCCACTATTGCACCCATGGGGCTATCTTGCCAGGTTGATCATTATCAAAGCTTTTAGGATTCCACAGCTGTAAAAGACTGTTGATGACTTTCTCCCCCCCCCCCCCCCCCGTAGACTGTGTAAAACCCTCTGGTACCGTGAAAACCAGCCAGCAGGGAGCAAGCTTCCCCATCAGTACCAGCTTGATTTCTCCCAGGTTCTGTGATAAAAATGTCTGGTGTCTTCAGTGGAAAGGTTTTAACATCAAGCTCTGTTGAGTGACCAAGAGTACTGGCAATAGAAGCTTTTCAATTGCTGACAAGATGGTGAATACAGGTGACAGAGGGAATTAAAGGATATTCATGGAGAAAGGTCCCAGCACAAATCAACTCACACTTACTGTTTAGTACATGTAGGGTAATTAAAAAAAAAAACAAAAAACTTTTACCTGCATAAACTCACTCAATCCTTAGAACTACCTGATGAAGTCCTGCAAATTACAGTAGCTTGTGTGTGGTCCTATGGTCAAATATGGAATGTCAGCCTCCATGCCTACTCATCAGACCATTCTGGTTGATGGAAGAAACAACTCTGTGAGGCTCTCTGACAAGATACTGACTGAGATTGCAAAACATATATTGCATATATTTATTTTGGACAGCTAGAAAATTAGGCAACCATCCTCTTCTTATAGCTTAGGCGTTTAAGACCAACTAAAACTCTTGTCCCAAACTACAAGCTGACTAACAATAGAGAAACATTTCCCATATTTTATTATAAAAATGTATCCTTAGTATGTAGACTATCTAATAAAGTTATAATCATTGATTTGAGTTATAAGGCAAAAATATTTTATCCTTAATATGCCCCATAGATGCCCATATTTCATGTGGTTAATGCTGATTACTTTGGAATTTCACCATGTTTCACATACTGCTTTCATTTACCAAATCTCCTTTCCATTAAGTAACCGCAACAGTCATATTGCAAAGAAGAAAGAAGAGAGACCAAGTTTAATGTGCCTAGATGGTGCCAATCTCTCTTTTCAAGCAAGAACACATCACAGTAACACTGGACACCACTCCACTGACTTGCTTTTGGGGGCAAACCATCTCTCCAGCAAATGATCTGTGCATAAGTTGATTACATTTGCAAATTTAGGCAGGGATGTAAGGCATTGAAGTAATCAGAAAATGCAGACACTTAGCTTTCAGTTAATTAAAACTGTTTGTTCACTCTTAATTACATGTCTGGCGACATGGTGGGTACAAAAATCTAACATTTTTTTTTTTTTTTAGTGTGGAATGCACAACATAGTTGAAAAGACACATGAAAAGAAAAAAAAATAATTCCATATAGCGAATATTGAGTGACAATGGTCAGGTCTATCCCTGGTATGGTGTTAAAAAAATGATTAGGTAGTAGATGATTAAGAGTAACCAGGTGCAGGGCTGGAGAGGTGACTTAGTGGCTAAGAGCACTTGCTGCTTTTTTACAGAGGTCCCAAGTTTGGTTTCTAACACCCACCTTCTAACACCATTTTTTTTTTTTTTTTGCATCCTGGAGTACCCATATATGTTGAATCTACACATTAATACAGATATAAATAAATCTTAGAAAGGCCTATCCAGATTGAAATGTAATGCTTTCAGACACTGGACACTTGGGAAGCAGGCATTGCTCAGGAGGTTGTCTTTTTACCCTTGACTTCCGAGGTGGGTAGGATGAGGACAGTTGGGTCTTTGTGTTGAGGTCCCAACGTGTCCAACCATTTATTCTTTGGATTACCAGAGACTTCTCATGAAAGATGGATGTATAGACCCACGTGTAAAGTAGGTGTGTACACATTTCTGGAATGAACATACCAAATACGATTGTTGCTTATGATATGAGAAAGTTCCCATAGAAAGGATATTTTTGAGCTTGCTCGGGTCCCTGGCTAATAGCTGCCATATGTTTCATTAGAAATGCCTCTTCCGGAAGTTATTCAACATTTCTGGCAATAAAGCAATTAAATGGGGGTTTTCTGCTGGCCATATGGGTTCGCTGTAACTTCATATTTTCTTCTCTCGCAATGGAACAAAGGAAAGTCTACTAATAACTTCCAAATGAGAGGAAAAATCATTCATAGTTTGTTATTCTCCTCTATGATATTCAATTGATAGAAAAATCACCATTTCAATGACTCTGAACCACCACAGCCTAGATATCCTAGCATTCAAAAGGCTCTTTCAGGAAAGGGTTCTGGACTATGGTGGCCAATTAAGGTGGTTTTAGTCTTGAAATTAAAAAAAAAAATCATCGAAAAAAAAGCACTTTAGTAAAGGAAGAGGAAATAATTTGACTCAATGAGCACTTTTGAAGCTGTGTGTGGGAGCTTAGCTGGCTGCTCAGGCCTTCACATGGGAAACACACTTAGGGAAGAGCTGACTTTGACATCACTTGTAGACATATTAACTATGTATGTCATGCCTTTTGGTTTCCTGTGAGGACAGTTCTCCGCACCGATAGGATGACCTCCACCCAACACCTTTGGGAACTTACAGCCACCGCTATGTTACTATGGAGAGCAGCATCAGGGAAAAATGTCAGCTCCGAATACCCTTCAGCACAACGTCAATAGAAGAATTCTCGTTGTTCTAGCTCCTTCTGGATGATGGGAGTGATGCTGTTTTTCCTCCACAGTGAATTTATTTTTATCAATATGCTTTTTCCTTTAGTGACATAAGACATTTTTGTTTGTTTGTAATTTGGAATCAGTCCCATACGATGTTACTGTCAAGAAGCCTTTTTTTAAGGTCAAGCTCTTCAAAGAATAGGGAAATAATTTAGAAGACACACTTCTGGGCTTTAGAAAAAGACAGCTCCTTTGTTTTCTTCACACAGAGAGTCCTGCCTGGAAGGTTTTGTTCTCTCTCTCTCTCTCTCTCTCTCTCTCTCTCTCTCTCTCTCTCTCTCTCTTTTTCTCTCTCTCTGCTTATTTGGAATTCTTTCAAATATTATAGATATTTATGTAAGTGTCTGGCATATTTTGATTTTTTTCTGC